TCCGTAACTTGAAAAATATGGCGGTCCGAGCTAAACTTTTCTGATATTTGTAATGAGGAGGATGTAATATGTCCGTATACCAATTTTGACGGAAATCGCAGGGGCTCACCCAAATGACCTTGAAATTCAAACCTCCGTAACTTCGTAAATATGGCGGGCCGAGCTAAAATTTTGTGATATTCGTAATGAAGAGCATCTAGAGTGTCCGTACACAAATTTTGACGGAAATCGCAGGGGCTCTCCCGAATGACCTTGAAATTCAAACATCCGTAACTTCGTAAATATGGCGGGCCGAGCTTAGATTTTGGGTGCATCGTAATCAGGACGTTACGTACTATCCACTGACCAAGTTTGGTCCAAATCGTAGGGGCTCACCTGATTCCGAATCTTAGATTATAGATTAGGATTCACTTACATCTAACTTGACGACCTATCCCATGTACTTACGGTCTTTTTGGCCGATGTGACACCGGTAGTATATAGAAATGTTATGATTAAATGTCGTTATTACACAGTCAAAAGTCACAGAAAGAATATCCAAGCTCAAAAATGGCCTCAAACCCAACAAAAACTGGTATGAATCCCCTTCAAAAGCCGTAAGTCTATTAAACGCCATAGGGGAATAGCTACAGTCCCCCGCAATTTCGTCACGAGCATCGGGCCAATCAGCGTCGAGTATTGCCGAACGCCGATTGGTCGATTTCCGCTAGCCTGTAAATGCTGCTTGCGGATATAGTTTTGAACAAGTGAGGGTCGCGGCTACTAATTATCGCTTGTCACCACTTTTTCGTCGGGAACGTTCTACCTGGTTTATATAGCCTTGGGCGAGCGTCACTACTACAGATAAAGTCATAAATCGCAAAAACGAAAAAAATATGCAGGAATGTGCCCCTAGGCAGTGCGTGCACGAACCTGCCCCACAACGTTATTTGTAATATATTTCAAAATTTCTTATTGAAAAAATGAAAGTTTTTCAACAAACAAGTTTGCAGCAGTTCCGTGAATAAAGTGAGCTTCTTCGCCCCCAATTTTGAAAAGTTAAACCACATTTCCGAGTCAGGATCACGAAAATGGATGATATGAGAGAAGTTTGGAAAGCGCACGAATATTACAAATTTGCGTTTTTATCAAGCATGACAGCAGGTACAGTGTTGTCTTCTACAGTAAACGAAGGGCGGCAATGATAGACATATTTTCATAATTTACCTTTAGCTCGTGCAGTCACTCGTGTTCCCATAAACTGCTGAAAACGAATGTGCCCCATGCACGAATGTGCCCCACTCTCCCCTACGGAGTCAGCCTGGCATGATCCGATGTCTTTAGATTTAGGTGGATCGGGTGGAGTGTTTAAAACGCCGGAAAAGGTCCCATGGTTCGATGCCTCTTGATTTATAGGTGGGTCGGTTGAAGCGTTTGAAACGCCGGAAAAAGCCTGCCGAAGGAATGGACTCAGAGTAGAACGCTCTGCTGCGGTCTGGGAGCCTAAAGATAGTAAGTTCGGAACTTAGAGCATTTCGTACAAAAAAAAAAAACATTCCGGTAGATATCTTTAAAAACAAACTCATGGACGATGCGTAATGTTGTTGAAGGTTGGGTCTGGATAAATTTGGTTAATCTCGATAAATTATCCAGACGTTGCCTCTCATACCGGGCATTTCTATCCGCTATAGCCAGAACCCACGCAGTAGGTATTAAAAATACACAGACATCAATGCATGAATCAAGTAGAAATAAAGCATGTTTGCCTATGCTTGCAATAGCCAGCTGGTATAGCAGATAGTGTCACGCTTCAGCATGCAACCAACGATGCATTTATTAGCGCGTAGTTACGGTACTGATTATGTAGTGCTCCACGCCACTCGCCAGCACTTGGAACCAAGATTACTTTACTACTCCTTGGAACCAATCATTGCACTGACTGTACGCTGCTTATGCTGCATTCCTCTTCCTTCACTGCGCCCTGTCACTCTAATAAAGTAATCTTGACTGCGCCGAAGCTCCAGTCCTATATATCGGTTCCCACGGTAAAACGGCTCTCTGCAGCGGCACATAGCATGGACTTTTTATCAGCGTGCCGCGGCCACCCACGCATTGGTTCCTCTCGTGCAGGGTCTAACGGTTCCCTGAGAGGAGAAATACAGCGACCCTGAGCAGCAGCTGATTGGACAATTGCAGCTCCGGCTGACGGGGCTACTGCACTGCGGATGCAGGCTTTGTCTGAGGCCTCAGATGGTGGTCAGCTCACGGGCTCACGGCTGTACTGCCGCCGTTACAACTGATCCAGATGATCCAGATCCAACTGATACAACTGATCCAAAATCCCTGGCCACACGGCAGCATATCCGGTTCGACAGCGATCAGCGGCGTCACTGCGCTTCATCAGCTGGGCAAATGATAACGACCGGCATATACGGTGTTTATCTGAAAGCTTAATCCCTAGTCGTAAGCGCTTTGCCAGGATTGACAGGGACGCAATATTTTGCATTGCTAGCGCCTGCCATAACCCGCGCCCCGCTGGGCTATTCAGCCATACGCGCCCTGCTGGGGGGGGGGGGGGCAGATTCTGCCCCCCCTGTCTAACTTCCGAACCGATGGTCGTAGAAAGACGGGGAAAACGGCAATCGAAAGCTCTCAACAAGGCGGATCTTAAGAGCCCAAATTTTTTTGCTTAAGTAGGTCAGAGGTCAGGTCAAGGTCAGGTCAAGGGTACAAAATGCAAGTTTCTACAGTATCGGCCTTGCACCGTAGTTGCCGAAGAATGGACTGAGACTGATTGCCCAAAACGTGTTCTTAGACTACCAAGACAATATTCGTTGCACACAATGTCATTCAAAGGTCAAGGTCAAGATCAGGTCAGGTCAGGTCAGGTCACCAAAAACAAAATATAGAAAAGGGCATGTGCGACACATGTTTTATGGGTCATTTTACTCATGGAATTCAATAGGCACACTCAATAAGTGATATGGACCACCTCTGGATGAATTTCAGGTCGAGGTCAGGTCAAGGTCAGGTCAAGTGAGGTCAAATTTTGAAGTTGGTTGTTAAGGCCTAAAAAGGTGTCTATTCGATGCAGTTTTTCACGGCGAATCGAATGGTGCTATTTTTGTTTCCGTACGAGGTCTAGAACTTCCAAAAAAATCATTTTTCAAAAATTTTGTGTGTCGTGACGTCATAAAATTTTGAATAACTCCCACATTTTTGAACCGATTCTTCTAAAAATTTGTATGTAGGTGCACATAGACCACTTCTTTGACATATATTCCGGTTTTTTCGATAAACTCAAAATTTTGGATTTTATAAATATTTTCCCAAAAAAGTCAGTTTTTTGGAAAAATTTTGGCCAAAATCAAAAATTTTCAAAAAACCGAGATAGCCATTTGATAAACAAAGTAGAATCACGTATAACCTTTTTTGTTACGTCTTGATTCCTTTAAAAATGAAGATGTTAGCGGCGTTTGAAATTTTGCCGTTTTTGAGGCGAAAATGGCGAACATGACGTCACTAAAACGTCAATTTCTCAAAAATTTTCCGACGGATTTCGCTCAAATTTTCAGGGAACATGTCAAATTGATGTATGATAAGGTACTGAAAGTTTGACGTCGCTGGCGTAACGCGTTTAGAAGTTATTGGCGAAAAACGGGAGGGGGGGGGGGCAGATTCTGCCCCCCCCCCCCCCAGCGGGGCGCGGGATAATAGACGCTACATGGAAACTATGGGCTTTCTGTTTCCGTTCCTTTCGGGAGCTTTCGTGCCATGGCTTAGCCTTTGCAAGCTGCAGTCGGAACTCGAAAGGACCCTTATAGCGCGGCCTTTATCGATGTTACCAAGTCATTATCACAAGCCGAACCAAAGACATCCTCCAACATAGGTCGCCGTGCCCTGCCTTTCATCAATGACATGCATTATGGCTGCGTGAAAGGCCAGTCTTCTCTGCATATTGACACACCGCCAGTCCATGATCAACACTTTTTCCGCCGGCCGCGGTCTCCATGGCAACGGGCGCTCCTCAGTACACACACCGTCACGGGACAGGTCATTGATCAGGTCCCGGACGGCTGGAACCAATCTAACTCTGCAACGCTGCAGGCGGAACCGCACAAAAACAGAATCGACCCGTGCCGGGTGAGTGGCCGCGCAGTGACCGACACAACACCTGATTATCAGATGAGAAATGACGGCCAAATCACCGTTATTTCGCATACATCTATCGCACCTTCCTTGGTCGTTATCGGGTGCGTGTGGCGTTACGACTGGTCGTGTGCTGTGTGCACTGTCACCTACGCGACCCGAAGTGCAAAGAGCACACTCAAACGGCGGAACCGGATACCAGCGAAATACTCACTGAATGGAGTTTACATAATTGGTGTTAGCGAGTGCTTCCCAATGCGAGCCACACAAGGTTGTTGCAGCATGTGAGTGCAGCTGTCAACGAACTTAGGTGGCGACCGTTCAACTGGTAGTCGGTTGAGCAATTGACCATCAACACCAGAAATTACGACATATTATCCCGTTAGCCATCCAGAGAATAACCAATTATACCAACAAAGGCACTTTTAGTGTGCCGCAGACAATTGACGATGCGGCCGTACCTACCAGACCGAGCGGTCACAGCCGATCCTCAGACCTCATTGGCCGCTTAAGCGGTAATATTAACCCGTTTCTGCTACGACTGTGTTTGCCTATCATCCCATTGCCTTCACCAATCACCGTACCTACTGCCTACATTACCTAGGTATGACTGTGATGAAGCATGAAATAAAATCCAATGCAATCATGACGAGCAGCTTCGGCACAACGTTCAAAAGGCAAAAAGCTTTCACCCACTGAACACTTTGACAACCAAACAACCGATTTAAACTGATTCAATATAGGCCACGATCGACTGAAGTGAATCCGTAACCGAGCTGCAAACTTTAATTTGTCCCTGGGAATTTCGCGCTATCAGAGCAGTGTAACTCCAATTCAATTAACAATTAACACCGACCTGTACTCTTCCACAGACAGAAGAAGATCGACTTCAAAGACTTCAAAAAGTACCTGGACGACATCGCTGCGACCAAGAAGATCCCTCTGGAGGAGCTGAAGAGCAAGCTGATCAACTGCGGTGACCCGGGCACCAACCATGCTACGGTCAGTGATCCAGACGATAGCCCCCCTCTGAAATAAGTTAATCGTTACTTGGACATGTACGCTAGTCTCTAAGCCGAATTAATGTGTGTTGGCGGGCGTGGCGACGGAAATGGCGAGTCCATCATTCACGTCAGCCAACAATATCGATTTATCCAACATGGGCATTCTAGCGAAACGTCCGAGCTATTCCGAAAGAACGATTGCGACTTGAGCTATCAACCCGGATATTTACGGGTAGAGTCGCTAATCACGCAATGTCTATCCAAATGAAGCGATGACGGGATGAATGACACGTCACACATGATGCATGATGCGTCACACATCAAGTGTCTTAGTGCGCGGATTTGTCATACGTGAGCTCGGAACCACCGAGCACGTGTCCAGTCACAATCACAGTGAACATTGGTAGTCGCGGGCTGAGCGCTTCTTTAGTCGAGCTTGCTTGTTCCGGGGGCCGGGGGGTACCGAGTCTGGATAATGTTTGTGGATAGTGATAAGTGTTTCTGTTTGAGAAACGCAGATACGGTGATTCGCCGATTGGGCTTCATCGTCTGTGGATCCCTAATGGAATAATTATTGGATGACTTCGAACGGTCACGGCATGCAAAGGCGTAGAACATGAACCGAAAATTGAGATATGGGTTATATGGGCTATGGGTTAAAACTGCTAATTGATGCCTAGCACTGACTAAGGAGCTACAGAAAGCCGTGTGTGGCGGCGCTATGGGTTGTCTGACCGACACTCCTCCCTACCCTCTTCCTGGGTAACATCGCTGGGCGCTGACGGTGACCCTCTCCCCCGCAGAAAGCCGTGTGCAAGTGGCGGCGCTATGGGTTGTCTGACCGACACCCCTCCCTCTCCCTTGCTAACACCCGCCCCCCATCCCCCACAGAAAGCAGTGTCTGGCGGCGCGGTGGGCCGTCTCACGGACACCAGCAAGTACACGGGCCAGCACAAGGAGAGGTTTGACGAGTCGGGCAAGGGCAAAGGAAAGGCCGGACGCGAGGACCTGCACGCCAACGACGGCTACGTCTCCGGCTACAAGGAGAAGGGATCCTACAACGACAAACACTGAGTTCAGAGGACGGCGAGTACGTCTCCGGCTACAAGGAGAAGGGATCCTACAACGACAAACACTGAGGAACAGGATTGACGGAGGAGTGGAAGGGCTTCTGTGACGAAGCGGAGCACTGAGCGAGGGGAGCCGGACGGCAGAGTGAGAGATGGCGGAGAGATTGGATGGAGATAAAGGGAGATAAGTGGGAATTGGATCGGAGATGAGGGAGGTGAAGAAAACAGAGAGGCGAAAGTTGGTATGGTGGGGGCCATGCAAAGGGCAGGGCGCAGTCAGCTAACAACAGACGACAACAGTAAGCATATTCCGATCGCTGATAGTTACATGCAGATTTGGCGTGCTCTGGAGCTGCAATCTGGCTGGGAGTTTTTTTTTAGTTCAGTTTCAGCAGACATGGAGTTCACACTCTCACATTACAGAGATCGAATGATAGGCTGCTTGAGGGAGGATGGATCAGCACCGCTCTACGACATTTGACACCACCTTAGTTTGTACTGATTAGCGATGTTGTGGTACACAAACATGACAGAGAACCATCGTTTCATCCATTTGTCTTTTTCATTGTGTATTCTGCGCCAGGAATGGATAGATGTAGATGCATGACTTCGCCAAGCCGTGTGCTTTTAGTCGGCTCAGCTACTGCAAAATACTCTGTGGCACATTTAACGTGAAGTATCCCGCACTCGACGGATAGAAAACTTGTGCCTGCTGAAAACGAATTCCTTGAAGGGCTGGGCCGTGACAAAGTGAGTTCGAATGAGCCTAAAGCATTATGATGGCCCATATGTTTAGTGCCTGTGTGCTTACCTACGATCACGGTGACTATAAATCGATGTGGTGATACAACAGTGGCTTCAGTAGGTACATGTAGCTAAGCAAGCGATGTTAGTCGCGTGCACTTGACACCCTGGCACTATATTGCTTTGACCTCTGAATACACGGTTTGTCGCAACGCCTTCACCTTTCGGCCCGTATTGTGACCCAGTGGTGGACGCTCGATGTCCAGCCCGCTGCATGCCTCCGCCAAGTGGATTTTCATTTCACGGTCGCATCGGACTCGCTAATTAAGTGCAAACTGATGTTAGCGAAGGATTCTCCAATTAGGCTCCAAAGTCACTGCGGATTTCGAGACACGATACCCAGAAATCATCAACCAAAAGTCAATGCAATGAACTGCAGCTAAAGCATTGAGATACCTACTGTTTTGTATCTGGCTGACAAACAACTCTGTTTTTTGGTTACGGGAGCTTCGCTTCCTTTCTCAGAAAAGCTGTGATTAATTGTTCACAAACAAATGAACATAAAAGGGGCTATGCCTCGACCAGACACAACGGATATAAAAGCCTTTCCCCCAATGGCCCATACGCACAGCACACTGCCTAAACAGTAAAGGAGCATTTTAGTCGTGCTTCTTAGCTGTAATTAGGCTCATTTCATCAAACTCTGGTGTCCCAGGACGTCTCCGAATTAGATCCAATGAGACCCAAATTGGCTAAATCAGCTTAGTGGTCCGCAGCCTGCTCGTAGCTAGGAAAGTAGCTGGGTTGGAATAACCACCCGCAGAGCCTTTGATGCTGCTCATTTCCCCGACTTTCCGACTTTGACAGAGGAAGCCGATTTCCATCGTGTCCAGGCCATTAGCCGGTCACAACTTCCATATGGTCGACAGAGCTTACACCGTAGCAGTCAATATGCGTGAGACCATATTGGACATAAAACCGAAAACACACGAAACCCAACGGCAAAATATCGAGCCCACCATTCTAACATATCACGCAACCGTGATTAACCCTCGCCCCGTTGGGGGGCCATTTTGCCCCCCCCCCCCTGTGGTTTTTCCTGAACAGCAAGAAAACGGCGGCGCGCAGCGCCGCCAAATTTTCAGTACCTTCCCGGGCATCAATATGACACCTTCACACCAAATTTCAAGTCTTAGGTCACCTTAGGTCAGGAGTTATTGAGGTCAAACTGAGGTCATGTTCGAGCAAAAATGGGCAAAAAACATGCAATCTTGAAACGCTCACCAAATCTACAGTTACCAAGCAATTTCAAAGTTCTTTATATGGTCTAGTAGACAAAAAGCGGTGCTACAAAACTACTATCTCGGATTTTCAAAAGTTTGGGTTTTTGACCCCCAAAAAATCAAAAAATTGATTTTTTAGAAAAACTAAAAAAAAACAAAAAATCCGAATTTCGTAAAAACCGGAATATATGTGATAGTCCCTGCGCTCTTCTATATACATACCAAATTTCAGATCGATATCTCGTTTTTTGGCCAAGTTATAGCGAAAAAACTTCAAAAATGATGACGTCAAATTTTTGAACTCGATTTTTAGCGATTCTAGACCACGTAGGGCAAAACAAAGACCACCATGGAACTCCCCGTGACGAGCTGCATCGAATCGATACCCATTTTATGCAAAATATCAATTTTGAAATTTGACCTAATTTGACCTGACCTTGACCAAAACGTGACCTAAGCTGGCCCCAAAGGCTACCTGACCCACATAATCGCATTTTTCATGTAAAATGGACCATAAAACATGTATTACGCGACACTTTCATATTGTGACCCTCCAGTGACCTGACCTCTGTGACCTGACCTGGTATCAGTGACCTCAAATAGCAAAATATGTCTTTGAAGAACATTTCCCCATCGATGATTTTCAATGAAATGCATTTTTCTCGATTTTACAACGCATTTCTTGAAATGCCTGTAAACGGTGAAAATTCGACATTTGACCTGACCTGTGACGTCATCGGTTTGACCTAGGTCAATAAAATTGGGTCACAAGGTAGTTCGCTGATAGAGCTATCCAACACCACTTGCCGCTAGGTTGCGTGGTTCTCGAGATCTTAGGGGGGTGGGCAAAATGCACCCCCCCAACAGGGCGCGTTGCTCGGCAGACTAGCCCACCAACGGGGCGCGGGTTAAAGCACAATTAAAACACAATTTTGTGGACCGATTCGACACACGCTTCGATTACGATGTACCTACATTGCGACCACTGACGCATTTAAGTTAAACACGACAGAAGCTACGAGATATCGAACTTTTTTAATAGTCTATAAAACATTTACGTATTTTCAACCGACCGTCGACTGGTTCCCGGTACGTGCTCATGTCAGGGGGCATCCGCCTTAATCTTTTCCGAGGTATCAAGAACGATAAAATCACCACGGATCTACAGAGATATCAGTCGTGAGAACAACAGAGCTGCATAACCCTTCATTACACTTGCTATACCATCAGCAAACCGACAGAATCGATAAACCAGCCCGCTGCAGCCAGCTACTCAAACGAATATAAGAGGTGAACGAGCGAGAGGAAATTCCTCAGAGGTGTTGTCATGGCTTTCCTGTTCTGAAATCATCAGTGACCGCCCACGTCCATTCCAAACCACTCGTTGGCCGCCGCTCAGACCGCTGCAAGTCCCTCAGGCCAGTTGTGACCGCCTAAGCCTCTTTCAACGAGCCCCGAACCTTGTCACCCTGCACTGTCTCGTTTAGCAGTTTGTAGCCATTAGTTTTGGAGCCCTCAGTACACCCACGCGGGCATTACGGAGCCGCCCCCGTGTCCACGCTATAAATACATCAGCGAGTACGCTAGTTGATAGTTGAAACCCTGATATCACAACCACCTAATGGCTCAACATGACTCAGAGCACAAACAATGGAGCGTGACAGTGAGATCGCTGTATTTTGCCGACCGGGTCAGATGAAAACAGGACGTCTGAGCACTGCGTCAGACAAATACTCCCGCCCGGGCGGCGACACAACACGTCAGAGCACAAACAAAACAGCAGTGTACCGAGGGGATCAAATAAAATGTAGGGACTAGGGAGTGATGAAGCGTGACGGGGATGGGAAGTGAAAGAAATGGACGACGGAGTAATTTGGATGGGGAGTGACAGCACACACGAAACAAATTAGGAGACCGGTCGGAAAACATGCTGATGATGAGGGAGAAGTCGCACGTTGCTAAAATGTTTGTACTGGCTCATGTGGTGTTGATTGTACCGTGAGACACAACATGCAAAAATTGCCAACTTAATCCTATGCAAATGATTTGAAAATAAAAAAGTATCTCAGCTCTTGACTAGATGTTATGGTGGCATGTAGGCAAAATACATGCAATGTACGATATAAATAAATGAATGTTGAGGCATAAACACACGAACCTATCAATTTACAAAGGACTAGAGAACACAACCATCAGATTGATATCTGCATTTTAAAACTGCACTTAATTACGTGTGTGTAAGAAAAGACTTGGACGACCTTTCAGAAGGTCGAATGTCATAGAGTGAAACCACTCAGCACTTCGAATAGTTTGTATGACTAGAAATGTGACCTCCACCTGACATATGAACGATGCACGAAGCAAATAGCAATGCTGATGAAATGAAGGCACCGTTAGGACGGACGACGATGAAGCTTACTCTATCGATCTGCGATCATCACACCGTACAAAGCACATCATGGACGGGATTGGCTAAACCTGACAAAGTTAGACAATGGTCCACATGGACCACTCAGGTCTTTGGCTGTCTCAAATGAAACTAGTATGATTAGCATGTCTTGAAAAACTCCTCAGACTTTTGGCAGTGAATGCGGCAGTGGGGCATTTCACACGAGCCAGAACGGCCACCTAGATACGTATAAGAGATACGTATGGCGTGGCAAATAGCAGATTAAGCTGTGCACACTACACAGTGCACCCGGCAAATAAACTTTTTACTCTATCTTTTCTGAGCTTTTCTTATCCAGACGGTTGATTGACACGGTTGACCATTGACTTTGGACGTTTTTGGACCAGTTTGTCTTGCCGGAAGCTCAATGCAAGGCCCATCCAACAGGAAGTCACAGATCAGTCAGCCCATCCACTCTACCAAGCGTATATCGGACTTATCTGACTGCGCGTCCCCGCCGTCAGCTCACTCCTGTCTCCGCCCGGTGTGTCTCTGCGCCGGGTGAGGGCTCACGCCGTCTCCGCCCGACGTCAGCCTACCGGCGCCGGGTGAGGGCTCACGCCGTCTCCGCCCGACGTCAGCCTACCGTCGCCGGGTGAGGACTCACGCCGTCTCTGCCCGACGTCAGCCTACCGTCGCCGGGTGAGGGCTCACGCCGTCTCCGCCCGACGTCAGCCTACCGTCGCCGGGTGAGGACTCACGCCGTCTCTGCCCGACGTCAGCCTACCGTCGCCGGGTGAGGGCTCACGCCGTCTCCGCCCGACGTCAGCCTACCGTCGTCGGGTGAGGGCTCACGCCGTCTCCGCCCGACGTCACCCTACCGGCGCCGGGTGAGGGTGAGGGCTCACGCCATCTCCGCCCGACGTCAGCCTACCGGCGTCGGGTGAGGGCTCACGCCGTCTCCGCCCGACGTCAGCCTACCGTCGCCGGGTGAGGGCTCACGCCGTCTCCGCCCGACGCCAGCCTACCGTCGCCGGGTGAGGGCTCACGCCGTCTCCGCCCGACGTCAGCCTACCGGCGCCGGGTGAGGGCTCACGCCGTCTCCGCCCGACGTCAGCCTACCGTCGCCGGGTGAGGGCTCACGCCGTCTCCGCCCGACGCCAGCCTACCGTCGCCGGGTGAGGGCTCACGCCGTCTCCGCCCGACGTCAGCCTACCGGCGCCGGGTGAGGGCTCACGCCGTCTCCGCCCGACGTCAGCCTACCGGCGCCGGGTGAAGGCTCACGCCGTCTCCGCCCGACGTCAGCCTACCGGCGCCGGGTGAGGGCTCACGCCGTCTCCGCCCGACGTCAGCCTACCGGCGCCGGGTGAGGGCTCACGCCGTCTCCGCCCGACGCCAGCCTACCGTCGCCGGGTGAGGGCTCACGCCGTCTCCGCCCGACGTCAGCCTACCGGCGCCGGGTGAGCGCGGCCACGCACACCCACACGGCCACGATGTTGCTCGGGTAGGGCTCCATGTGCACGGCCAGCGCGAACTCGGCCTCCCGGCTGTCGTTCCGGTGCACGCCGAGTGCAAACAGCGCCTCTACCATCGCCTCCTGCGAGTGCTGCGGCACGTTCAGCGGCACACCGCACACCTGACGGGGAGAGAACAGATGGGTGGGTCAGTGCCAACCGGAGTCAGAGAATCAGAGAATGATGATGATGCTAATTTGGACTTACGGACAACGATCTGTGAATGGGGGTTAGGTTAAAAATAAAATATACCCTTTTTCGTAATGTGTATTGTGTATGTAAGCTAGCAGTCATTCTCATCCCACCCAAAATTCAGCAGCCAACCCCATTGTTACCTCGTACAGCCCTCACTACGGCGTGTATATCTGTTCAGTCCCTTACCTTGTAGGTGGTGTGTATGTTGGCCAGCAGCCGGGTCTGTTCAGCCCCTACTGTGGTGTGTAGGCTGACCCCTTACCTTGTACGTGGCGTGTATGTTGGCCAGCAGTCGGGTCTGCTCGTCGGCCAGCTGTGCGCCGCTGATGGCCGGGGTGAAGGTGGACCGCTCCAGGAGCGGCAGCATGCGCCGCAGCGCGTCCGAACACGGCCGGTTCCACGGCGTCCTGCGGGATCACAGGGGAGTATTGCTATTAGTGGACGGTCCGCGTCCGAACAGGGTCGGTTCCAGGGCGTCCTGAGGGACCACGGGGGAGGCATGACATTGGTGGACGCAGCGCGTCCGAACACGGCCGGTTCCAGGGCGCCCTGAAGGACCACAGGGGAGTCATTTAAAGGTAGTGTGCCACCTTTGAAAGATTTCCCATTTTATTTTTCATAGGATAAGAAGCTTCTGTTTTTACCTAATATCGCAAAAAAAAAATTAAAAATGGGCCTGGAATAGTGCCTTTTTCGCCTAAAAGTTTATCGGTTTTTCGATATGTACTCGTATAACAACTGTAGTGGGCTGAGCTGCAAACAGGCGTCGGCAACAATTGCGAATGCGGCGCACATGTGACAATACGCAAAGGTCATTATAGAGTTACGACGTACGGGAATGAGTTATCAGCTGTCTAATCGTAGACAACACAATGTCGAGCCTTAAACTGTAAGCCTGTATTGGTATTGTTTCTTTTATTTGGCTGTCGAACATTATTTATGGTTTGAAATATGATTTTATGTAAAATAATTGATATGAAAAAGCCGTCTCTTAAGTTATGACCCCATTTCACCACACGCAAGTGGCAGAAATGACAATGATCAGCTGACGCATTTTTCTTGGCCGAAGTCAGAGCGCGCGGCCCGACGCACCACCACCGCACCACAAAGTATGAGCAGAAGCCGCGCCCAAAGCCAGGGCCCCGGTAACGTGAGGTAGCCGAGTCGGGGCAGTGTCCGCTGACCCAAGCCGGGGCCGCAGCTTTGGGCGCGGTCTACCGCATCCCCGCGGGCAGCCCCGGGCTATCACATGACACCGGGAGGACGCGCGGCCCCGGCTTGGGTCAGCGCACGCTGCCCCGACTCGGCTACCTCACGTTACCGGGGCCCTGGCTTTGGGCGCGGTGTACCGCAACCACCTAACAGGCGTGTTCGAAACCGCAGGAGATGATGATGAACGGGTTTATCGAAACTTGATTGGATGAGCATATCGGTAATAGCGATTTCAGTGTGTGCATTTATTGTTCATAGTGGTGTGAAATGTGGTTGGGGTACGACCGACAACCCGTCGGGGCGAATTTCGCACTGGGGTACTCAAAATTTGAAGAGTTTAAGACGTTTCCATGAGTTTTGAAGGTATGGATAAGTTCTAAAAATCCGGTTCTCCTTATCTGGGCCATTAACTCCATACGGTCCAGGAAAGCTGGCACACCGCATTCCTACCGCCCTCAGTCTGCTATTCCTCAACTCCCCGCCAGATAGTCCCCGCCCTTCCAGCCTGTCTCATAAATCATTTCTCCCAGACGCCCTCCCTAGTCGCTCCTCCCTCCCCGTCTTATTACGAGCGAGCGAGCGCAGCGAGCGAAGCGAAGTCTTTCCAATATAACGGAAAAATCTCAGTATGAGCGGCCCGGCCCGGCCCGGCCCGGCCTGTAACGCTTTTGAGAGGCTTATATCTCAGCAACCGCTGGACCGATTGGCCTGCGGTCTTTTTTGTTGGGTAGTCCCATCCCTTCTACCCCGTAATTGACTACTTTTGATACATTTCAGTGACCGTCGTGGTACGTGCCACGTGAAAAGTCAAGGGTGTTCAAGCAGTTTTGCAAAAGTAATGATTTTGAGAGGCCCATAACTCAGCAGCGGCTTGAGCGATTGTCTTGCGGTAATGTGTATAGGGTAGCTGCATCCCTTCTACCAAAGGTCGGATACTCTTGATCTATGTGAGTTTTTGCACTGCACGTGCAAAATACAAAAAGAAGAGGTGCCAAATTTGTTCCCATTTCAGTAACTCGGTAATTACTGGGGCGATTTCGCTGAAACTTGGCATACAGGTAGGCACCCACCAGGCAATGCATTCCCATGTGTTGCGGTTAGGGTGCTACTGCACGTGCGCACGTGCAGGGGGCGTTTCCAGATCTCGAGACGGCTGGGCCGATTGCGCTCAAATTTGGTACACGGTTTGGGACCGGTTAGTAGGGTGCCGTGCAAAAGTCATTTTGGACCCCGTTTGCACGTGCGCACGTGCAGAATGCCGCTTCCAGATCTCAGGAACGGCTGGGCCGATTGCGTTCAAATTTGGCACACCGCTAGCGACCGGTTAGAAGGGTGCTTTGCACAAGCCCGTTGGAAGTACCCTCTCGCCCTTCCGCACGTGCAGGGCTCACTGTCTCGCTCGCTCATTCTTCGCCCAAAAGGCGTTTTACTGGTTATCCACAGTCACTCCTCTCTCCCTCCCCTTCTTCCCATGTCAGTACTCCTCCCTCCCTCCTTCCCTCTTCTCACGAGTTGGTCCCCAGTCGCCAGTAAAGTTCTCAGGTGGTCCTCCCAGTCCTCCCCTCACCGTCTCTCTCCCTCCCTCCCTCACCAGTTGGTCCTCTGTCTCCAGTTCTGCAGGTGGTCCCCCTCCCCTCCCTTCCCCTCACCAGTTGGTCCTCTGTCTCCAGTTCTGCAGGTGGTCCCCCTCCCCCCTCACCAGTTGGTCTGTCTCCAGTGCTGCAGGTAGTCCTCCCAGTCCTCCCTCCCTCACCAGTTGGTCCTCTGTCTCCAGTTCTGCAGGTGGTCCCCCTCCCCTCCCTTCCCCTCACCAGTTGGTCCTCTGTCTCCAGTTCTGCAGGTGGTCCCCCTCCCCTCCCTTCCCCTCACCAGTTGGTCCTCTGTCTCCAGTTCTGCAGGTGGTACCCCTCCCTCCCTCACCAGTTGGTCCTCTGTCTCCAGTGCTGCAGGTAGTCCTCCCAGTCCTCCCTCCCTCACCAGTTGGTCCTCTGTCTCCAGTTCTGCAGGTGGTCCTCCCAGTCTCTCCCCCCTCACCAGTTGGTCCTCTGTCTCCAGTTCTGCAGGTGGTCCTCCCCTCCCTCACCAGTTGGTCCTCTGTCTCCAGTTCTGCAGGTGGTCCCCCTCCCTCCCTCACCAGTTGGTCCTCTGTCTCCAGTTCTGCTGGTGGTACCCCTCCCTCCCTCACCAGTTGGTCCTCTGTCTCCAGTTCTGCTGGTGGTACCCCTCCCTCCCTCACCAGTTGGTCCTCTGTCTCCAGTTCTGCTGGTGGTACCCCTCCCTCCCTCACCAGTTGGTCCTCTGTCTCCAGTGCTGCAGGTAGTCCTCCCAGTCCTCCCTCCCTCACCAGTTGGTCCTCTGTCTCCAGTTCTGCAGGTGGTCCTCCCAGTCTCTCCCCCCTCACCAGTTGGTCCTCTGTCTCCAGTTCTGCAGGTGGTCCTCCCCTCCCTCACCAATTGGTTCTTTGTAGCCAGTTCTGCAGGTGGTCCCCCTCCCCTCCCTCACCAGTTGGTCCTCTGTCTCCAGTTCTGCAGGTGGTCCTCCCTCCCTCCCTTCCTCTCACCAGTTGGTCCTCTGTCTCCAGTTCTGCAGGTGGTCCCCCTCCCCTCCCTCACCAGTTGGTCCTCTGTCTCCAGTTCTGCAGGTGGTCCCCCTCCCTCCCTCACCAGTTGGTCCTCTGTCTCCAGTTCTGCTGGTGGCCCTCCCTCCCTCCCTCCCCGTCTTTTTCCTCCCTCCCTCACCAGTTGGTCCTCTGTCTCCAGTTCTGCAGGTGGTCCCCCTCCCTCCCTCACCAGTTGGTCCTCTGTCTCCAGTTCTGCAGGTGATCCCGCAGGCGGCGCTCCAGTCGCTCTGCGTCCGTCCGCACGCGCGCCGTGTCGGTGACTGAGTACCTCAGCGTCTCCGCCTGCACGGAGGCCATCTCTGTCGGCGCCGGCTGGCGGGCCGTGAACAGCGGCCGCCAGTCGCCCACCAGGTTCACGTCGAAACTGATACACGACGGCTGCGCGTACACCTGCGTGTTGGCCCACACCTGGCGAGCAACGGAGGGAAGCACCGTGATTGGCCAGATGCTGGAGGTCAGAAGCCAGGGTCTTACAGTCTGAGGCAGGGGCCAGACGCTGCGCAAGGTCAGAGATCAGAGAAAGGGGTCACAGTCACGCTATTCACTTTCTGGAGAGAGCACACTAGATGCAGAGACTGGACTGAAATGACTACAATAATTAACTTATTACACTGCTTGTCTGCTCTTCCCAAAATAGCTCCCCAGTTTCTCGATCACCGTACCGGCCCATCCCTGACCCAACTCCCATAGCCTCTCTCTAGCACCCCTCCCATCAGACCGCCACCTCACCGAACTCACGTTTTCGGCGTTGATGAGGCAGCCGACGCTGAGCAGTGAGCTGTAGCTCTCCGCGGCGCTACTCCGCTGACCCGTGCACGGGTTCCACAGCCACCGGTTCGTCGCCTCGTCCGTCAGTACGTACGCAGTGAGGCCCTCGGGGATACCCGAGCCTGGCCGAACCAGGACAGGGTCAGATAATGGCTGAGCAGTGAGCAGTTTACACTCAACACGCACCACGTACGCGGTGAGGCCCTCGGGGATACCAGAGCCTGGCAGAGCGAGGAAAGGGTTAGACTGCAGCCTGTATTTAACAAGTAACACGTGCGCAGTGAGGCCCTCGGGGATACCCGACCCTAGCAGAGCGAGGACAGGGTCAGAGAATGGCTGAGTAGGGAGCAGTTTACACTCAACACGCACCACGTACACAATGAGGCCCTCGGGGATACCAGACCCTGGCAGAGCGAGAACAGGGTCAGACTGCAGCCCCTACTCGACAAGACGTAACACGTACGCAGTCAGTCCCTCGGGGATAACCAAGCCTGGCCGGGTAAGCAAACATCCACAGGCTGCAGTTAGCGACTGCATCCAATGTTAGGTGTGAATACACGTCGCATATGGACAGTAGCATGAATATCAGAAATCGTGCAATAAACCAAATAAATAGCAGAAGATCGTCCAACATAAACATACGGACAAGTCAGGCCCTGAGGTGGACGCCAGGGACAAACTATGAGTGCAGTTACTTACCGAGCACGAGGTAGGCGCGTTTGCCCAGGTAGAGGAAGAAGTTGCAGAGCAGGATGGCGTGCTCCTCCTCATCACCGGCCTGCATGTCCAGAAACTCCTGTGTAGGTGGGAGAAGGGAGTGAGGTGGAGGGAGAAGGGAGAACAAAAGACAGTCAGCATCGTACAGCACGTCCTGCACTAACACCGCCTACGCACAAGCGTTTCATAATGCTATATCAATCAAGATAGAGGAATGTTGAATGTTGAATGCTAAAAACTGTTGAATGTTGAATGCTGCTGGAAGTAAATGATAAAAAAAACAGGACAAAGAACACACGACACAATAACAATCTGAATAGCACTTCTATGCAGACTGGTCATATCTTTGATTCCCGCAACCGGCATTACCCAATCGTAAATCTACTCACCTGACAGGTGGTCCAAAGGTCGTACATGCCGGAGAAGAAGTTGACGTCGGACACGTTCGGGATCAGCGAGACGAACCGGGCGATCAGCAGGGCCTGATCCTCCTCGTTGGAGCATGCCGCTGCGGACGGGGGGGGGGACGTAAACAGGATGGCGGCCTAATTTACAGTTACAATAGCCGTACAATTAACATCAGTAGCGGGCTCGATGGCTGAACTGCGGCAGACGGCCATGCATGACTGACCCAGTAACATGAATGGACAGCATAGAGCACAAATAAGCTGAAAGAACAGTCGATGGTGTTGTTGTCAGGGCAGAGTATGACTCCATTTATAGTTTTCTCGCATTGCTGCAGAACATTTCACATCTCCCTCCTAGATTGATAGACAGGGGCGAAGATGGAAATATTCACTCCTTCATATCTCCCTCCGCCCCCTCCCACTGTACCGAGGAGTGCGTCGGGCGGCCGCAGGGGTCGGATGTAGCGGCACACAAGAGCCGATCTGCCGGTGACATCCAGCACGGTACAGCGCACCCGGCGGCCCGGATAGTCGCGCCGGAACGCGCGCGTCCACAACTCGCAGTGGGACAGCAGCTTCTCCGTCTCCATACTCTCCAGGTGCTCCTGTATGGGCGCGGCGAGGGTTAGACGAGTTAGACGGGCGTTATAAAATTATCCGGGTGGGGGTCGCATGAATAGAACATAGATCGTAGTGAAATTGTTTTCGCATAGCTAGCCCGGTAATCAATATAATTTCGCAGTTCAATCACAATTACGCTCTCACGCTGTATCCAACCGAAAATATTCCTGCTACAACCAAGACACATAGTTAGAAATTCAGACAGAGTTCTGGCGAGTTCCTCGACGCGCTGTGACACCATCCCACATATAAAATCCGAGCATTTTACTCGGCTCCATCAGCTGTTCGGAGTCAGTTATAATATACTAAGGTCCCTGTGGATTGGAACTGGTCCATCAAAAGTCACCACACTCCCACATGGTCACCCCACCCCTCCACTCCCGCGCCTGACCTGCACCGTGGGCGGCACGTTGACGGGCGGCTCCAGCGTGATAAACACGGTGACATAGGTGCCCGTCTGGCCGGTCGGCAGGCTCTCCGTGAGGTGGAACAGCGTGCCGCGAGCCGTCACGTCGCACTCGTAGCCAATCAGCAGCGGAGGGGTGTTGAGGCGGAACGTGCCCTCCACCTGGCGGACGGGAGACGAACTAAGGTCAGAGCAGCCCGCAACGGCCCACCAGCAGACCGTCAGAGAGCCTGACCGACCCGTCTTGAACTGACCGGACCAAGACTGATACGTCCCACAATGAACGCTGATTCGCCCTATACTGACCCCTCCCATTGTTCGTACATTGATGTAGAGTGTGAAGAATGGCACGGTGAGCTCCGCCAGCCAGACTGGCCCGTCCTAAACCGTCCCCGACTGACCCGTCCATTAATGTATAGCGTGGAGAATGGCACGGTGAGCTCTGCCAGCCACCTGCGCTCGATGCGCTGGTGGACGTTGGTGTCCTGCAGCCGGTCGTCGTCCAGCAGGTCGACCAGCACCTCGTCCTGCAGACTCAGGTGGATGACGTCGTCCAGAGAGTGCAGGTCGGCCACCCCCTGCGGCGGCAGGCTACGGGGCAGGGAGTAGGTGAGATCAAAAGCGAGCGATCTGGTAAAGACTGGCGATGAACACACGCAAGGACAAAAATTGATTGCCAAAAAGATACGCAAAGCGAGTGTAAAATCAACAGGAGGGGAAAAAAACAGGCGACTCCCGAGTCCCGACGTGCTTGGCAGTTTTTGCTGGGTCCTGGTTCCAGGTAGGGTTCAGTCCCCCTACTCACGTGACTGGCAGTTTGAGATCTTGGTTCCAGGTGGGGTTGGGCCCCTGGGCCACGTTGGAGCGCACCGTCTGCCGCTGGAAGGTCAGCTCCATGAACGGACGGACGCTCACCTTCGGCAGCAGACTCGACTGGGCCACTGGAACATGAGCAAAACGGACGGCGTGTCACTACACGACACGACACCGAGTCGCTGGAACGGGACACATAACAGGCAGAGAGTCATCCACACTACACTACCATGACTGCACTTCACTGGACCACAGGGGTGGACAATTAATAAATACTGTACTACTAACCTGTAGCCTGAGCGGCGGGCGCCGGGCGGCTGTAGTCGGTTCGTACCGCGTCCGTGTCGCGGCGCACGGGCACATTGAACGCGCGCACCACGTGACAGAGCAGCTGCAGCTCCTGGCCCTGAAGGTCGACCAGTGGACGCGACTGTTTCTGTTTGCGCGGCGGGTTTAGCGGCCGGCGGACCGAGAGCAGGCTGCCGAACACCGAGCCGATCGTCCTGGGCGGCAGAGGTCGGGACAGGTCAGTTGGGAAGGAACCGCCGGCGGACCGAGAGCAGGCTGCCGAACACCGAGCCGATCATCCTGGGAGCAGAGTCGGGAGAGGTCAGTTAGGGAGGGTTGGCCGGCGGACCGACGGCAGGTTGTCGATCGTCCTGGGCGGCAGAGGTCGGGACACGTTAGTTACAGAACACAAAGCGGGACGGGGCACGGTGGGGCTGGGGAAATGGGTGAATCAGCGTGTCACCGCCGCATTTCGTAAATATTCCATCACGCAGCACATCCTTCAAACAGCTCCAACAAATAACAGTCTCAGACCACCCCGCCAAATTATCACCATCAGCTACCAGCCACCACACTCTCCACTCCCTATCCCCACCGGTACGCCGCCCACCCCTCTACCACTCACCCAATGTCGGGCACCTCGTCCTCGCGCACCATATCCTCGAGCCGTTTGTGTTTCTGGGCGGCGCGCAGGCGGCGGGCCACCATCTCTTTGATACGCAGCTGGTATTGGAGCACGGAGCGGCGGGCCGACTCGCCGCCGTCACCGCCGGCCTCCTCTGCGCCGGCGCCGGCAGCCGACTGCGCCTCCAGACGCTTCTGGTACGCCTATGGGGACAGGGGAGACGGTGCGGGCCAGACGCGGTGAATCGGCGGGTATTGTGGTAACAGCGGCTGAAAGGTAACATTTAACAAGCCCAACAACCTTGAGGCAAGCATGTTTATCAACTACATATTAGTCAGCGAGCTTCTTTATTTATACCATAAATTTAGCATTATAAATGTGTTGCGCATTATCACTTACTCCCTATCCCTTCCTCTCCGCCTCCCTTTCCTCCCCGTACCGTGAAGAGCTGCTGCGGCACCTGCTGGTCGCGTAGCGGTGCCATGGTCACGTGTCGGAACTCAGGCACACCGGCGTCCCTCAGTCGCAGCAGCCGGCAGCGCGCAGAGTCGGCAGGGTCCGGCGCGCCGGTCAGGAACCCGTCACAGCCGGGACGGAGTGGCGCCGGACGGTCACCACCCTCCGCGGCCGCGCACGGGTCCGGCTGGAGCGGCGAGCGGGAGTGTCTGAGTTATGGGAGAGATAATGATGGCCACAAGGTGACGCGGATTCGAGCAATGAAATAGTTGGTTATAATTTGCTGCCCTCCAAAGGGAAAAAAGTTGCATACCTATGCATCAAATTCACTCACACGAATTCCTTTCCTCTTACATTCACCGCACAGTCTCCCCTCCGTCCCTTTCTTTTTCTCCACCTCACCATGTTAGCCGTCAGGCTGGCGTCTGCCGGATCGTTGGGGTCGGGCGCAGCCAGCTCGGCCGCCGCCGCCCCCTCGGCGGTCGGGTCGGCCGGCGGCGCCAGCACTGACCCCGTCTCCTCGTCCACGCCCCAGTAGAGCGCCGCCTGGAGCCGGCCGCGCGCCGCCGGACCGGAGCCGGCGGCGGAGAACGCAGTCCACTCCGGCAGCGCAGTGCGCTCAGTTACGTGACTGGGGGATTAGAGAGGTGATGAGGGAAGTGAGAAAGAGTGACAAGGCGAGAGGCGAGGGCAGCAAAGCCACGAAGCCATATAATTAAAAAAAAATGTCAGCACTGAGCACAGCAGGTAAAGCAGACATGAGTGAACATTGACTGAACATTAATTCCGATGCCATTGGTATTCTCCTTCGAATTTCGCTTTCGCCTTTCAAAACATATTCATCACACAATAAATCTAATAAGCGAATTCAAATATCAAAACAAAAAACTAATTAACCTAGCAAAACAGATGCCATTAACTTGCACAACTCAGACTTTAACATGCAAACATCCTCGCCCGAATGTGCTGACCACCGCACACCCCGCACCACCGCCAGCTCACCTGGCGGGCGCCGGCAGTCGTAGCTTGGCCAGTGTCCTGGTGGAGCGTCTGGTGCCCTCCTCGCAGACCTCCAGCTGGAGGGCCTCGGGCGCGGCCCGCAGTCGCACGGCCAGCTGCTGGTGCAGCTCCGACACCAGCTGCTGCGAGAGCGGCTGCGGCCGCGTGTGGCTCACCTCGCGGCCGCCGATCAGCGTCCGGACCGAGAGCTGACAGCGCGACACCGCCTGGCGCCGCTGCTGCTCCGGTCTGTAGGGGAGGGGGAGGAGGGGAGATCAGAGTCTTAGGAGAGGGATACTGATAGTCAACACTTCGTGAAGGGAGCGAGAGGAGCCAGAGAGGACAGGGATATAGTCTGTCGTCTGAGGCAGAGACTGAACCGAACGGAGTCATACGAGGAAGGCTATACAACCCAGCGCTACTACACTGAGAGGTTAGCGGCCTAGCACAACACTACTCCAGCTCATTACATCCCGCAGTATTAACCCATAACCGCGGCCCGCACCCTCTCACTTGGGACAGTCCCCGTCCGCGGTGTACAGCTGCAGCACAGTATAAGCCATTATAGCTGTCCCTCTTACTTTGGACAGTCGGCGGTGGCGGTAATCGGGTGGGTGTCCAGCAGGTCAAACGCCAGCTTCGGCTCTCCAGGCGGGCGCCGGTTGCCGGTGGCCCGTGCTTCAATATCAGCCAGCACCTGGTGGGATGCCACCGTATGAATGATAGCACATTAAATCCCAGCTGCATAATCGCCATTCCATGGTTGACTTTTAATTAAGGGTGCAATGACTAGCTGATTTGAACAATTAAAAGCAACGATGTCAAGCGTTTCCTCTGGCATAAGCATTGAACATTAGAATTCACAAAGTTTTTCATAGAATAGAATATGTCGCGAGTATACAATGCACAGTGTAAATCTCTTCTGTCAACCGCTTTCGTGAAGTACTCGTAATTGGGAACAGAAACACGTTTTCTCGTTAATAGTATAATTAAAATACTATATGGTAACATATCGATTCACAGTCAAAAGCCAACCCGTTAGCCACCCGTCCCGACTCTGCCGCGCGCGCCTGCGCCCACGGACCTGTTGCGGGTCGAACTCGGCAGGCGGCTGGGGTCGCGGTCCGAGCTGGTCCGAGTCGGAGCCCAGCTGGCGGCGCCGATCCCGCCACTCGCTCAGCTGCTGGCGGTACCTGGACAGGGGCAGATGCTGCCGTTATATGAGACGTGACCAGGCAATGGGAAATGACTGAGAAAACTACGAAATTAGCACACTTTGACAGGATTATACTCGATACCTATTGCCCAACAGCAGAGAAAGAGACGAAAAGAAGCAGCGTCTACAAAAAAAAAGAACACCCCCGAGTATGTGAGTCGCAATTGAAAGCAAACCATGACGACGGTAAAGCATTCCGACAACAGATAAGGCGCCACACTATCAAATAAAACAATAACAATAAGCAAAAACAAAGAACACAGCGAAGTCCAACGAAATGTGCAACGCCCACATAACAAACCCTTCCCCCTATCCCACCCTCCAAGCAGTCAGCGCTCCGTATCTGCACTGCCCTCCTCCCGCACTCACTCGGCGTCCTGGTGCTGTTTGCTCCTGTCGTGTTCGGTGCGCAGCTCCTCGAGCTCGGCCCGCAGCTCGCGCTGCCACAGCTCCGTCTCCTGGCCGTGGTCGGAGGGCAGCTCCCTCACGGCCAGTCGCAGCGGCGTGCTGCTGAACCCCTGGTCCTCGCGCAGTACCTTCAGCTCCCGCCACCGGCGTAGGATCGAGCTGAGAGGGAGGGGTGCGGTCAGAGCGGCAGGGGAGGCGGTAATAGGGATGGGAGAATGGAAAGGTTGTTAAAGCCTTCATATACGCCCGACTGCGTTACAATAAGCACGTTAAGACGGGTAAGTATCGGACATTATGCAGTTCGATTGAGTATTTTTTTTTTCAAGCTTTATACGCCCTTGACACGATATAAGAAATGCAATTCCAAGAATCGAGAGAAATACGAGTTTCCTGCACAAAACACGAGAGGAGCATAAGGAAATGGCGCCTCGGCCAAGCGGACATACTCCCAATGAGACGTAGGAGAGTTTCCTCTTTCCAGCCTCGGCAGAAGCATTTCCCTGCTGCCCTGCCCCCCCCCCCCCCCCCACACACACACCAACAGAGGCGCCGCTGCTGGGTCCCCTCTCACCCTCTGTCCCCTCTCACCCTCTGTCTCCTCTCACCCTCTGTCTCCTCTCACCCTCTGTCTCCTCTCACACCTCTATCCCTTCTCCTCTTTCTATCCCCTCTCACTTCTGTACCCCTCTCACCGGCAGAGGCGCCGCTGCTGGGTCCCCTTTCACCCCTCTATCCCCTCCTCACCGACACAGGGGCCACTGCTGGGTCCCCTCTGACCCCCTGTCCCCCCTCACCGGCAGAGGCGCCGCTGCTGGGTCCCCTCTGACCCCTCTATCCCCTCTCGCTCCCTGTCCCCCTCACCGGCAGAGGCGCCGCTGCTGGGCCGCCGCCGCGTCCCGCTGCTCCCTCAGCCGCTGGATGGAGGTGGTGTAATCGTCAATGCGGCGCCGCTGCACCTGTTCCGCGCCATCCCCCGTGTGATCTCCGTGGTCCGCCCGGTCCCCTGTGTGGTCTCCGCGGTCCCCCGTGTGGTCTCCGCGGTCCCCCGTGTGGTCTCCGTGGTCCCCCGTGTGGTCCCCGCGGTCCGCCGTGTGGTCTCCGTGGTCCGCTGAGGGCAGCTGTAGGGCGGCCGAGAGGACTCCGTCTCGGGCGCGCCGCACCGCCCACAGTCGCTGAGTGAGACGGTTCACCGTGTCATCGTCCACCTGACGGGGAAAATAGAGGGGGCCGAGGTGACGGTCAGTCTGCTAGTGACACCATCAGTTCAGGCACAATATGACAGCTGGCACAACGGAGCACCGGGATCCACTCTAGCTGCAGCATTGCACGTCGTAACAAAATGACAAATCTTATAGCCCGCCCTCGCGTGACCATCGTAGAAGTTTGGTGAGGTAGCCAATGCTATAAATTCCTTACGATTACGTCCCGAAAACTGGGCTGCTATCCCCCCCCCCCCTCCATACCCACACACACACCACCACCACCAGCACACCGACCCCCATCAGACCTGCCCGGCGCCGCCGCGCCTCCCTCACCATGGCGGTGTACTCTCTGTGCAGCTGCTCGAGGCCGGCGGCCGCCCGGTGCTCCTTGGAGAAGAGCGGGTGTTCAGTGAGCCGCACCGCCACCAGGTGCACATGCAGCTGCAGCTGCTGGGGCTGGTCGGCGGCGGAGACGGTCGGCTCCGGGTCGGCCGGACGCGGCGCCTCCATACTGGCCTGAAAACGGGGACGGCGTCAATGGGCTGGGTAGAACCTGGCTGTCAAATGGAGTTTAAGGTAACACTGGAATTACATCATATACAAGAAAAGTGAGAAGAAAAAAAAAACTTGAGCAGCTGACACCCACAAAGGTTGACATCACATCCCGGTAGTCTCCGTGACGGGGCCCAGCCGGGTCCCAGCAGTCATGGCTCTCACACCCTACCCAGTACTGGTTCTCACCGGTAGGTAGTCTGTGAGGGCGTCCTCAGACACATCCCGGTAGTCCCTGTGACGGGGCCGACTGAGCAGGGGGTCCGGCAGGCAGAGCAGCTGGCCGTCCTCACCAAACCAGGACCTGAGACAGCGCGGCGATACAGGGGTGAACACAATGGCGGCACGGCGCCGCTGCTTCATATAATACAGAACAATTCAGTCTAGTCAGTCGAGCTCATAAGATGACACTGGGTAGCATTCACAAAAGTATTAGCGAAATTAACTAAAATCAGGTCTAACTAGCACCAAATTGAGTATACTCAGGCGGCTCAAGCTTCACTAAGCGACGATCCTGCTAGGCCATGGCTGAGGACCAGACAACTCCACCATATTCCGTCCAATGGGGCCGTGTCCGCCGCACCTGTCTGAGGAGTGCAGCAGCCTGTTCTCCAGTTTGTGCAGGTTACGGCCGGCCAAGTGGGGTCGCCGGGGCACGTAGATGCCGTCCTCAGCGGGGTCCCGCGCCTGGCCTCCCGCCGGCAGCCGCTCCTCGGGCGGAACTGGGCGTGGAACGACGCATGAGGATTAGTGATTAGTTGCTAGCAGCGGCTGGGCGACATTCAAATTGTGCGTGGTGTTCGACTGGAACTGGGCTGCAGGCTAATGTATTACACAAAGCACAACAGGGCACTGCACTGTGATTCCCGCATAAATGACTACGAGCAGCAAAAATAGCGGTCGGGATTATTAAATTAAAAATATTGGGCGTCGTAGACCAATCATGCAGCATTAGGTTCTATAAATCCCATTCAAAATACATATAAAATAAATTTAGATACAAAATCACGCACCAGCCGGCCCGTCCACTCACTAGGTATTGGTGACGGTGCGAAGTAGATATCCGCCTCTCGCGCCAGCTGCGCCTTCCGTGAGAGGATCATGGGGGCGACGTGTCGAGTCACCGGCCCCAGTTGCTCGCCTCCCAGCAGCTCGGAGAGCGAGAGCGACTCGGCCGCTCCGCTCGTCTCCTCTCCCGCTGTGCAGACCGGCGACAGAGATAGGTCAGTGAAGGCCGGTCAGGTCAGTGAGGCGTGAGCAGGGGGTAGATGAAAATACGCAAATTAGCAAAAGGAATGGCGAACTGACTTTACTAAGTCTCCTGTAATAACTAGTGTGTAGCAGCGCAGCAACATTTTTGCATTACCATCCATTTAAAATAAAACAAAAAGCGACTTTAGAATATGCTGTTCCAGATTATGGAAATATGATAGGCTAATAGAAGATAGAATGGCAAGAAGAACCCCCACAGTTGGGTCGATGGTCCCAGCTAGGAACGGTAGTCTGAGAATGGTTTGGGTGGAGTTCTGTAGCCGCCACAGCGGCACAAGCCACCTTCTCTGGGAGTGGCCGGCGCGGTGGCAGCCCTCCTCTCTGACGGCGGGTCCTCCCAGATCCGACAGAAGAAGTCGTACGCCTGCACCGACGACGGACCCGTCTGCCAGAGACACGGACAGACAGAGAGCGTCAACTGCTGGGCCGAGACCAAGCCTGGATACACGTCAGACAAGCGTATCAACTGAGTCAGCGGGCAGCCAGAGGGAACGTGGTGGATGTGCGCATAACTGTGCATAATGTGTGCAAAATGTGTGCATGAGCCCCAGGGTCGCCTGCGCACGATACTAAACAAGTAACAGTTCAAGCTCCTTTTCACAAACGGACACAAGATGAAAAAATGATGACGCTTGTTCGATCATAGAAGTTCACACTACACACTCTACGAAGGCGCTTTGGGGGTGCCCACCTCACCCCCCCCCCCCCGTCCAAGAGAGACGGGTACCCAGGCTTACCCTGCCGGCGGCGGTGGCTCGCATGTAGTCCTCGTAGGCCCGCGAGGTGCCACCCTCACGCAGGGTGTCGAACCGACTGGTGCGAGGCTGTGCCCGACTGCGACGGGCCGCCCGGCCGTGACCCTTGATCTGTCGGCAGGCCAAGTCGGGTCGGGTCGGGTCAGGTCGGGTAGAGCCACGCCAGATATAAATTCTGGTATAGAGTCACGCTGTCTTGGAGTTTTTTTTTTTTCATCAAATAATCTTGAGGTATTACCGACAACAAAATGCCTTCAAGATGTCTCGAATCATTTATAAGGACAGCGGACGCTAATACAGCAACTTCCAGGGCCTGATCCAGTTGCCCAGTGTGTTACTGTTGTCACTCCCATTTAGTACTGTCTGGCCCCCTCCTCCCTCTCCCGCTCTCGCCAGCCGCCCGCTCACTTCCGCCAGGCTGAGCCGCTTCTTTAGCTGGCTGCGGAACGTCTCCTGGCCGGCGGCCGACAGCCGGCGCGGCGCCAGCGGCGGCGGCGCGCGGGGCGAGTCGCCGCCGCCACCGCGGTCCGGCTTCCCCAGGCGACCAGCGGGGCTCGACGGCCCGCCCTCGCCACCGCCAGCTGCGTCAGTGACGTCATCAGTGACGTCAGCGCGGACCGAGTCGGACGGCCGGAACGTCAGCGTCTCGTCCGGCTCACTCTGTAATCGAAATAAAAGCATGACCATTCACCTTAGGGTCTTCTAAGTCAAAATGTCGTCGTTTCGGGGATAAGCGCCAACAAGCAGATTCTGTATCGAGTAACACCTACCAGCAAGAGGTCAGGTCGGATGGTCAGGTCAGTTACTTACATTGACAATCGTCACTGACAGATCATTAAAATGTCATCCGTAAAAACGTATTGTATTGTCCATCCCTTGTCGATGGACAAGGGACAAGCGCAAAATACGCAACACACACATCGCTAGTCAACAAAACGGTCAACAATCCGGACCATGCTACAACGAGCGACGTCATCATAGCTTCCGAGGACATGACGTCCATTGTCTCAGCAGCCCACGCCAGCCACTCGCTAGCACTGCCCCTGCGTGCGCAGTGCGTTCTCACCGTGTCATCGTGTTGAACACTGCGAGACTGCGACTCGTCCTGGCTGCCGGCCTCGCGGCGGCGGCCGCGCCGGCTCCGAATCTGGTCCAGCATGCTCTCCGACTCGTCGATAGACTTCTGCGTCACCGCCGCGCGATGGTTCCATGATACCGACTTCATGGCAGGGCGTGTCTGACGCTGGAACACAAGAGGCGGAATGATCAGGCGAAGTGGGTGAGACTATTGCCATTATTGCCATAGTTCAGATGTCGTTTTGAAGTGCAACTTGAAGACGCAATCGAGAAGCAATTCAATTTATGTTGATATTTCAGAAATTGTACGCATCCACGTTTTGTCCATTGAGCACATGGAATGAAGATATTGGATAAATATTTGTATACAGACCGTGTAACTATTACTATTCTGTAATATTGGTGGGGGTTGGTCAGAGCATTTACGTGCGTCCGGTTAGGAGCGTCCAGCTGGGGCCGCACCGGACCCGCCGACCAATGCGGACTGCCTGAGCGCGCCCGTGCGCCGCCCGGGGCGGTACGTGACCTGAACGGGGTCAGTGCGAGGCGCGGTTCGCCGAGAGGTGGGGCTGCGTGGGAAAGGACGCTGCGTGAGTGGAGCGCTAGGACGGGACACTGCGTGAATTGCGGTGGTTATGTGCGAAATGTGAAATGTGCGATGTGTGAAAGTGCGGCGTTCAGGTCTGCTGACTGTGATATTGATGCATTCCTGCCCACTGTGAATGGCTATCTACTGTTCTCCGGCAAAATAAGGTAAGTTCCCGCAGTGTAATGCCCAAGATTCTTACAGATAGTAATACCCACACATACGAGTTACTCCCGGCGTCAAAATTTTGACTTCCACACTGAGTTATCCTACCATTGCAGCGGGTATACATCGTTTCAGTTCAATTCAGTCGACGTTATTTCCCAGATATGCCGTCACTTCTGTGACGTCATCGGTTCCGGGGCCACTGACGCCGTCTCTCTCGTGTCGTTCTCACGATAAGTACCTATTGATTTCGATGCTCCTCTGCCGACTATCTGCATCGGTTCACGCCATCCGAAAATTCAATGTCAGGTGAGTCAGCGCTGAATCACGGCTAGATTGATGCCGCATCACCCCTCCTCAGTAGACGTGCAGAGACGCTTGAAGCAGCTTTTACGCTGGACTAGGTCACTGTCCATTTGTTTGTTTTTGTTTTGTTGGGTTAGGCCCTTTCGGTCTGACAAGACCATTACAGAGCCGGAAGGATGATAGGAATTAGGGAGAGACATTGGTCTGGGCAGACACCCTAGGGAGTCGCCGGGGCTGAGCCCGTCCGAATGGACAGGCCGACAAGCCCCCCTTCCCCCCCCCCCCCCAAGCACTCCCTGCACCCGGCTACGGGGTGCGCTCCCTCGGGAGCAGCGGTGCCGCTCCAAGGGAGCAGCCCACATGAGATAAAGGTGCCTGTCCAGCCCGGAGTGGGGTTGCGGCGTGGAGGAGAAGGATTTCAGTATCCTGAGGATAGAAGCACGGTCACTGTCCAAAGCGCATGAGAGTTTTAGGTAGCGGAGACTGAAGCCAGAGAAGGCTACTGCTTGGTGTTTGCCGATACTTGTAGAATAGCCGAGTCGTCTAAAGGCGTCTCCGACCGATCATTAACGTCCAAGATCGCAGCCAGTTTGCCTAGCAACCGCGCCACCCCATCCGAGCCAGCTCGGGCGCCGACTCGCTCGAGTTGGCCGCTGCGCTGGTCATGACGAGGGCGCTGTGGAGTGATGGACGGGCGCAGCTCGCGGCGGCAGGTGTGGCCGATCGTCGCCGTCGGAGATCGACGATGTCAGCCATTATGACCACGGCTGCGGAGCCTGAGTCGGAGGCGGTCGGGGTCGACAGCTCTGACCTGATTCGGAGTCCGAGTCATTGACAATTCATCGACTCCGCAGACCTGGCAGGACTGCGGAGTCTGAGTCGGAGTTGATTTTTGAAAGCCGGAGTCTGAGTCGGAGTCACTGAAAATCTATCGACTCCGCAGTCCGCAGCCCTAAACATGGCAAAGTCGATTGGCTGTCTGGCTGTCGAGGCCCATCTGACTGGTGACATCAACAGATAGAAAATCAGTATGGTGATTAGCGGACTGCGCCGATCGATTCTGAGCGCCGACACCATTCATGTACCGAGCTGTTAGGGTCTTCCAGGCGTTCTGTGCCGTGAAGACGGTAGCTGATAGGTAGCTCCCTTGCAATGGCGTCAGACGAGTCACCGTGGGGACGTCGTCGGGGCAGATGGCTGATATTCGGTGCTCATCATGAACTCGCGCTCAGAGAGTGGAACTAGTCTTGGGCATGGTGGGGCAGCGGCTCTGCTCTAGTTGTAATCAGCGTCGGGTTCCCGATGGAAAAGGGTTTCTGACGCACGCAGTGCTGTTGTGCTTTAAGACTGATCAACACCTCAGAACGTGTGGTCTGCTCGCCAGCGGCAGCCGGCAGCCTCTCATGTGCCAGGGTGGTGTGTGCCTTCTCTTTGGCTCTTGATGAGCCATGTGTGAACAGCTGCGATGGTTTTCTGTCAATGCAAGTCAGTTCTTTGGTGAAGGGTTCTCCACATTACCTTGCTTTCCATTACACAATTTTTACACCAGCCCATCAATTCTTGCATTTGTAGTCATGCTACCAAACAAGTCGACTACTTTTCATCTTATTATTTAGGTAAATACCTATTCTTATAAAGGCACAAAAGACTGGTTAGTGGTTACTTGATGCTCTCATAGTCATACCAATTTTTCTCCATTACCAACATAAAATATGGGAGTTTCCCCTGCAATTTCAACTGAATCTCAAGATCTCCCTTGATGCTGGGACACCCAGCTACCATGTGGTGTGACGCAGATTTAGAGCAGTCAGATGCAGACATTGCTTGGTGCAGGCTGGTGCATAATTTCAGCCTTGGGACTTGTTGGTGTAAACTGATGTGGATTTGTACCCTGGCAAGGGCAGCTCACAGGACATCAACTCTGCTGCCAATGGTTTATAGTATGGTGAATCATGTAGGCAATTAGAGTGAAAAATATGAAAGTAATGGAATCATACTTAGCAGTACAGATCTGTAGATGTATCAGTGCTGATAAGCAATCCCCGCATGGAGCGGCAATTATTGCTCAGAGTCTGACTGAGTTTGGTACTGTGCATGCCATAGGTATTCAGTACAGTGTTTAAGCAGTATTGCAATAGTGCATAGGCATACTGCTAGAAATCATGTTTGCTTATAGAGGTTTACCTTGAGGGTGTCTTGGCAAAAAGGTTCATTAGGTAAGGTATGCATGTTTTATATCATCTTATCATCCAGTTTTAAGCTATAAAAAAGACAAGTTAAATGTTAACCCGCGCCCCGTAGGGGGGGGGGCCGAAACGGCCCCTCCCTGTCCTTTTCGGTCGATATCTCCTAAACGGCTGGAGATATCGCCACGAAACTTTCAGGACCCCTCCGGGCATCAATTTTACACATTGTGACCAAAAATTTTTCCAGAGGCTATGATAGGTTGGCCACAAATGACGTCAGAGTGACGTCATGTTCTGTCATTTTCGACCGAAAAAAGACCTTCGCGAGAAGACCTGTCAGGACTACAGCTTTGAAGATACAGAAAAATGATCAAGACATAAAAGGTGTAGAATTGACAGGGCTACAAAACTGCTATCTCGAATTTTTAAAATTTTTGAGTTTTGACCCCCAAAAATCAAAAAAGCATTTTTTTGGATATATTCGCCAAAAAATCCAAAAAGTTTTTTGAGTTTCGGAAAAACCGGAATATATGTGATAGTGCCTACCGTCTTCTATCTACATACCAAATTTCAGATCGATACCTCGTTTTTTGGCCAAGTTATAGCGAAAAAACTGTTCAAAAATGATGACGTCAAATTTTCAAACTCAATTTTTGGCAATTCTAGAACTCGTAGAGCAAAACAAAGACCACCATTAGACTCCCCGTGACGAGCTGCATCGAATCGATACCCATTTTATGCAAAAATATCAACTTTGAAATTTGACCTAATTTGACCTGACCTTGACCTGACCTTCACAAAAACGTGACCTAGGCTGGCCCCAAAGGCTGCCTAACCCACATAATCGCATTTGTCATGTAAAATGGACCATAAAACATGTATCACACGACACATTCATATTGTGACCCCCGGTGACCTGACCTCGCTGTGACCTGACCTGGTATCAGTGACCTCAGATAGCAAAGTATGTGTTTGACGAACAATGTACCATCGATGGTTTTCAATAAATTACCAATTTACTCGCTTTCACAGCACATTTCTTGAATTGCCTGTGAACGGTGAAAATCTGACCTTTGACCTGACCTGTGACGTCATCGGTTTGACCTAGGTCAATGAAATTTGGTCACAAGGTAGTTACCGGGTGGGGCTATCGAACGCCGTTTGAATTTTGAAAATCGGCCGGTAACTTTCCGAGATCTTAGGGGGGGCCGAAACGGCCCCTCCCCTACGGGTGGTAGGGTCTGCCGGTAGCCCTACGGGGCGCGGGTTAATAGTTAACTTAGAAACAAATATTAATTGACACTTCCATAGGCTACCTACATAATCAGTGGGATTATGATTGAACAAAGAAGTGCAATAAACATTTATTTTGATAGATGATCAAAGGCCAGTTTTACCAACAGAAAATAGTAGCCTGCGGGAATTTTTGACCAAAGACCGCTTCACATACGGAGCATAAACGGTAAAGCCTTATCCGCTTATGTGCCCATCGCCTTTACATTCCGTATGTGAAGCAGTCCAGACAAAAAATTCCTGAAGGTGGCTATTTTTCTGATGGTAGAACTGGCCTCTACAGCAAGAATCTTTTACTTCCTGTCATTGGCAGATCTGAGATGGGCCTTCTGCACATAGCTCGCATAGGTATGGCTCCCACACAGTCCATAATTGATAGCATTGACATTGTTTGTTCCTAACATAAAAAGAAAAGCACAAACATTTATAAGAAACATTTTCCTTTGAAATATACAGCAGTGTAGCAGCAAGCGAAAGCCTATACATTTTGGACAAATTTATGAAAAAAGACAACTGTTTCAGGAGAAAGCATTGCAATGCATACCTACTGCATGGTAAGCTTCAAATGACACATTTCGGCATAGGCGACGGAACGGGGGGCACCAGGGCACCGTGCCCCCTTTTATTTTGGCATTTTAGCATTGACCCTATGGGCATTGCATGGAAAGAATGTAACAAAAGTCGGCAGTGCCCCCCCCCCCCCCCCACCCCCCCCTTAATTTAAGGTGTTCCGCCGCCACTGCCTTTCTGGATCAGGATGGGTTTCTGAGATATTTACCTACCATCCATGAATGCCAGAAAAAATTATACTGATTATCAGAAACATTACTCACTTAATGGCATGAAATATTCCTGAATAACATTGAAAAATGAGCTGTTGTTGTTGGAATAGGACGCGTAGCCTTGCGACCCAAGCGTCAACTCAAACTTCACTGTAGTCGTTCTCTTGGTAGTCACGTCCTTTCTTGTTCGGTACCAAGGCGTCGGTACTAAACGGTACTAAGCAGGTGGCAATGGAAGGAGTAATTTGGAGTTGTAGTAATTGTATAAATGCGATTTAAACCCAAACACCTAATACCTATCAACCCACACGACCAAACGACCGCGCCATTCCAGCACCGCCAGCATGAGCCCTGATCGGCGGCCGGCTAGTACTCTTGCCGGCGCTCACATACGTGCACGTTACCCCGGCAACGGGCTATTGACCAATGAGAAGCGAGGAAAGTGTTACGTCACTGCGATTTTTCATATACCTGTGCCCCCTTGGCCCTGTTTCACCGGTGATAGCAGCACGCCGATTTTACGACTTGTCAAATTGGGTTTCCATGGAGACATCAACAGGCCCATTGCTCCAACACTACCACAAGTGTGACGTCAGCTCGCGCAATTTGATAGCAGCGTGGTAGCAGCAGCCCGTGAAACACCGCCCCGGACGTGACGTAGTGTGCTCGCGCGCGTATTTACAAATTGCAACCGAGCTCCGCCGTGGGATATTTTATTTCCGCCGTAGGGTATTTCATGTCGGGTATTTTTTGCCCGACAGTGGGCAGAGCACGGGTTGTCGATGACATTTGAAATTGTTATTAGATTGCCTTGGATTTTCCACTTGTAGGTTAGTATTTGTTTGTGGAGGAAAGCGTAACTAAATTATAAATATAGAGAATTTCTCAATCTATTCACGATAAAGTTAGCACAAAGTAGCACCAAAATAGCCAAAATAGGAGGTTAGTATTTGTTTGTGGAGGGAAGCGTAACTAAATTATAAATATAGAATTTCTCAATCTATTCACGATAAAGTTAGCACAAAGTAGCACCAAAATAGGTCAAAGTACTAAGAGAAAAAACATGTTTGTATTCAACTCTACAAACAATTGCTTTTTACACAAATGACTCTCACAAACACAAATGACTCTCACAACGACTCGAGAACAGCTACTCGGCGGAACGTACGGCCACAGGCGTACGAACACAGGTGGAACACAACGCCTGATGGTAGGACTAGAAGACCTCAAGCGTCAACACCACGGCGGAGCTTTATTAACAGTTCGCAGGTTCCGATGAGATGAGACCCCTACAAACGCGCTTTGCCCAGTCCCACAGTGACCTATTAACGGCCAAGAGCGCGCCCCGCGGCCACACATGTTGCCAGGGAGTGTGGGGCCGCGGAACGGCGGCGGTCAGAGGCACTGTAGCCGTGCTCGGCCGTCCGTGACGCCTTCGCGGGCCGACCGGAGGGGACGCGACCCCTTCCCCGCAGCACGTCTGAGCGCCGCCGAGCGGTGGCGGTGGGCTGGACGCCGATACGGGTGCCGTACCGACCCCGGACCGGCGCGGCACCGTGGAGCAGGGAGAGCTTGCCGGCGGTGGTGGAGTCCTGCCAGCGGCGCATAAAGGTTCTGAGACCGCTGGCCCAGGCATCCCGGTCGGGACCGTCACGGACTTGGTGGAGCACTTCATCCTTGAAGGCCACCAGCTGCTCCTCCACAGCTGCAGCCGCCTGCGCTTGGCTCGCGGAGGGCGAAGTTGACCCTTCGCCATGGGGCGCCTGAGGTGCAGCCTCCTCGTTGACGGCCTCGCAGCCTGGTGTAGCATCGCACCCGCTGGGCGCAGCAGATGGGCCGGCGGGCAGGGCTGCGCTAGCCCCAGGCTTTTCCGCTAGAGGCGCAAACCACCCTGCAGGCCAGGCCCGTTGACCGGTGGCAATCGTCATCAGGGCCAGCCTGCCCGACTCGGTCAGATGAGCATCGGGCATCTCGTCGCCCCTCTGCTCCAGCACCGCCAGGAGATGTTTGCACAGCACTCTCTTCCACCGGCTGCTGGCGCAGGAGCAGGAGGCGATGGCGGCGTCCACCACGTACGGCGTCTCATGGGCCTGCTGGGACGACCGCACCTCGTAGATGTCATCGGATGTCTGTGAAATAAGTTACAGATGGGCTCATTGACGAACAGGATAAGGTATGCTGAAGGATGGCTAGTACAAAACACCACCTATTTCTACCCGCGCCCTGCTGAGGAGCGGTGCTTGAAGACACCCGCTTGCGGTTTTTCACGAATATCTTAAAACAGCAACGAGTTATAGTACAGCTGTTTCTCTTTTTGCCACACCTCATCATTCATCTTCTCTGCACATGTCACAATTTCAGACCACGTCAAATGACAATACCTCAGGAAAAATTTCAATGACAACCATAGCTAGATCGACTGACTGATGGCTTTGAAATTTCAAGCGATTGGGCAGGACAATAGTGTGTATGAAATGTACATCTTGGAAAGTTGATATCGATGACCTTTGTCTTGTCTTGTCAAATTTTGCCATCTCTCCGGACAGAGGGAATGGGAGACAATTCAACTGAGCTTTTTGACGATAGTCATACTACATCTATTCAAGCATCTCGGCACAGATATATTTTATGAAGTCTAGAATTTGCACCCGTGACCCCTCTTTGTAGCCGTGAAGTCAGAGATGAGGTCAGCGGTAGCCGTCCTTGGATATGCTCAGCTCAACGATACAAATCGACACGCGATATGCATCATGACTTTTCGCCGAAAATGCAGATTGACCTTATATTTTCAAGCTTACCTTTAGGGTCAATGTATCTGATGCTTGAATAATCGAAATGTCTCTTGCGGTGAAGAGAGGAGGGAGGTTGAAGCGTAAAGGATGAAGAGAGTACACAGATTTGATTGAATGCAGGTGAAGATTGGTCATTAGAAGGAGAGCTGAACATGAAGATGGAACTGAAGATTACGCTGCACAGCCAGACCATCCCTGATTCATAGCTGCTTATATCAGTCGTGGGAATCGAACCCACATGCCATGCTATGTAATCTTCAATATCTTGCGAAAATGTGGATATGAGTTGCAGAATTTGAAATAAAGAAATACAGATCCATACTGCAACTGGAGGATTAGGTAACAGGTGTGGAAATTAATTTTCACTCCCGCCGATTTTCATCACATCTTCGAAGCTGCTCTTCAGCATTATGCCGTATGCCATAATCGGTATTCACGCACCTTTATTCAGCGATACCTGATTAAAGTCAGCAGATAACGTGAGATCAATTGTGAGGCCACCAGAGAAAACTACTTGCTTTTGGTCCACATTCGCGTCCACCCACATATACACCAACAGCGATCCACGTCCGACAAAGGTTTGCAACTAAAAAAAAAAAACGCAACTGCATAGCTTTTTTTGTAGACGGTTACTAGATCGATGTTATGCTAAGTTATTAAACTAGTGTTCCATTTAGCCAGTGACCAATCTAGCGTGATACCACAATACCTGAGTGATCTCGCCGGTCGATGGTGCCGCTGCCCGCTGCTGTCGTTGGCGAGCTCGCCTTCCATTGGCGACGTCCACCAGCCGCCGCTGGTAGTAGGACTCCAGCCGGTTGGTCAGGAAGTCCACCAGCTGCACGGCGTTGAACGCGCGCGTCCTGTTCAACAACAAAATTGTTTACATAGGTAGGTTCGTATGAAGGATTGCCGGTTCCGTTTGAAGTAAGCAATATCAGACAATTATGTGTGATTGATACAAGTTGAGCTCACTTTGTGCAGTTGCCAATGCTACTATAATTTGACCCATCAAATTAATGCTTGTTTCTTTGTAACTCAGTTCGATAACACTCGTGCGAAATTCTGTTCAAATGACGATAACGCGGACTCCGATATTTTCACGAATTTGTTCGCAGTCTTGTCAGTTTTGGGCATGTGGGTACAAACTTAGATCAACTCACTCAATACAATGTAAGGTAAATAAATGCAGTGTTCAAGCCCGTACACACCTAATTGGAGGGGTTCTCCGCTTTTAGCTGAATAATTTGGGTCAAACAGGTTACAACAAAGTAATTATATCATATGTTAAGCTCAGCCGCGCACCGTCTGTAGTCCAGGCCAAGGTCCTATATATCAGGTCTAGACGAAGAGACCCTAATGTTTGACATACAAAGTGCCGACACGAATTTTGGGAAAATTAAGTTTTTCACTGTTACCGAGGTCAAAATCAAGCAAGCGGCTCTGTCCGTGGCAGTCATGCATAACATTGCATCGTGTCATCGTGTCGTCTCATTTGCCACGGGCTGACATGCATATGATATAACATACCTGTACAGCACCGAGTCTTTTACGACGCGGAAGGCCGACTCCACGACGTTGTTCGTGTTGTGGCCGTTAGTGGGGATGTCATCCCTCAGGCACAAGGCCCACTCTTCTCGCCGCTGGTAAAGTCCCATCGCGTAGGACAGGAAGCTGGGGTAGATGTCTCCCCACTCGCGGTCTAGCACCTCCATCTGCTGTCCCATCGACACCTCGCTCTCGGCGTAAACGATCCTCTTCAAGGACGCCATCAGTGTCTGCCGGTCCTGTCCGCATACGCAACGTGTCACAAAATAATCAGCAAGAGCAGAGCTCCGAGAGACAGTCTTATGTCAAATTACATCTTGTATAATGTATATCAAGGTGACCATCCCACCTAAAGATTAGTTTTGAGTTGAGATAGCCAAGTTGGGGTCCTTGGCTTGCAATTACCGGTTTTGGCACACACAAAATCGAAAATATTTTATTTCAAAGTCGCAGCAAATTGGATTCAGAGGAGCCAATGGATTTGAATGCCCCCTCTGAATGTGTGACGTCAGCGCAGATCTAACTATTTCAAATCTTTTACTTTACTATGACGTTTGGTAACTCGTGGTGGTATATCCTGCTTTGCGCGCAACAACTCTCACACTTTCAGGATGCCAAATTATTGCTTATAAATTACCTCGTAGGAACTGAGTGGAGTTCCCAAAAGTAAACACAAGTTTAAGTGTAATATCTTGAAGACCGGTGAATATTTTTTCGGTGAAATTTGGTAGATGTTCGTTTTTGCTCTTTCTGAACCGAGCGACATGATGACAATCCATTAACTTTTTTGAAGGTGGGAGGGTCCTTTTAATACTAATACATGATATTTGGCGATTGAATTAGCAATACGAAGATAAATGCAAGACGACGATACATTTAAACACAAAGTTGAACACAACGCAACGTTGCAGAGGAATATTGCATTGTTATCTAGATGAAAAGCTCAATGGAAT